CAGCCACAAGCCAGGCTGATGGCTGCCAGTACAGCGGTGGTGGTGGGAGCCTCTCCCGCCTCCTCAGCAGCACTAAGGATGTCCAACTGTAGTTTAGGCCTGCTCCCTGCTGGCAAGTGGACATCCCCTGAGGGCTGCCGGGCTGCCAGAGGGATGTCTGATTGCCATCTTAGGCCCAATCCCCCAGGGAGCGGGCCTAAGCCAGAAGGTGGTCATCCCCTGAGGGGTCCCAGACTGCGAGAGGGCACAGGCCGGGCTGAGGGACATCCCCCTCCCCCCCAAGTGGACAAATTTTTGTGCACCGGGCCTCTAGTATTATAATAACTATGTATAGTGCCAGGTGGATGCTTGGGGCAGCAGGCAGATCATTCTGTAGGTTATGTGATTTTCTGGCCACTTTGCTGTACATCTGGAGCTAGTGCAGAATGGTATTGGGCATGGACTGTGTTTAAGGAGGGGAGGGGGGATTAAAAAAAATAAAAACAGCCAGTTTACAATAAAAACACAATTTTACAGTATTTTAATTGACAATGAAGAAATCATTATAGGAAAAGAAGAAATTTTAAAGTAATTTTACATTTATTTTAAAAAATGAACTTGAAGTACAAATAAAATTGAACTATTTCAAGAAAAATATTTACTACCAAAACTGACTCTGGAAAATATTTAAAGAAAAATTAAGCAGACTAAATAAATAAATATCTTTGTTCCTTATTGTGTTATATAAAGCAGTCAGGCTCTCACTGAACACTTAAAGATCACATTGAAATCTATGGTTCATAACACTATTAAAGACCAATTCCTTAATGATTGTATAGGCATAAGCCAGATAACCCAAATCCAGAGCAACTTATCCTAGAGAAATTTTGGCAAACTAGAAAGAACATATAGCTGGAGATAGCAGATTAAGTATACAAATTTAATTTTCACTTTCTCCTTCAAAATTACTAAAGTGATAAAACCTATGCAGGACAAAAAAACAACAACAGGAAAACAGCACAAGACAACAACAATAAAACTGTGGTATCCTAAAAGTAAATAGCCCAGCTGGCATGGTTCAGTGGTAAAGCGTCGATCTATGAACCAGGAAATCACGGTTCAGTTCCCAGTCAGGCCACATGCCTGGGTTGTGGGCTCCATCCCCAGGGTGGAGCATTCAGGAAGCAGTTGATCAATGATTCTCTCTCATCATTGATGTTTCTATCTCTCTCTCCCTCTCCCTTCCTCTCTGAAATCAATAAAAATATATATATTTTAAAAAGTAAGTAGACAAATTTTAAATATGCCATGGCTGGTGTGGTTCAGTTGGTTAGGTGTCATGTTATGCACCAAAAGGTTGCCAGTTCGATTCCCAGTCAGGGCACATGCCCAGGTTGTGGGCTCGATCCCCAGTAGAGGGCCATGTAGGAGGCAACTGATTAATGTTTTGCTCTCATCTCTCTCT